GGAGCGCGCCCCCCCCCCCCAACCCTGTCAAATACTGTTTGAACCGGTTTACTCCACTAGTTGTGACCGTTTGGCAATAATTACAAACGATTATATTTTTCTTGTTTGGATCAACTCTGACCTCATGGTGCCATGCAGGGTCATTCGTTAATGATAATTGTTGAGTATACAAATGGTTAGAAAATCATACTCAATGTTCGACAGGAAGATTGATGTGCCTCCCTGATAGTAGAGCATGCAACTAATAGGAATTTTAAGAAAAAGCATGCTACTAATATAAGGAAATATATCGTCTACACTCTACAAATATGCTTATTGTCTCTCCTAAAATGGAGTACACGCTTGCACATCAATGCATCTAAGTAAATTAAGTTCATTAAAAAAATGAACTAATATACTTTATGACATTAAAAAAAGGACCCAGTTTCTATGCGGCCAAGCCCAAGCCTGCATATGTAGAAATGTAGGCCTCTTAATAAATCTATTTTTGAGATGGATTTTAAGACTTAATTTTTAAGGACATGTAATCTCTAACATGGAGATCATGAATACGAATAAATAAATAAATTTTAAAAACTAGAAATACTAGTTCTAGTAAGAAAAAATTTGGACCGTTAGTTTCCATTGTTTTTAGATGGAACACCTACCTGCATCCATCTTGAAGATGGATGCTTTACACTTTCTGGACCGCATATGTAGAAATGTGGTCCAGCCCGTATGAAACAATTTTCCTTAAAAAAATTTATCAAAACATTATTGCAAAAAAAATTCAATAAAAAAAAACAAATTCTAAAGTAATTTGAAGATGTTCTTGTAATTTCTAAAGTAATTTCTAAAATAGAATTCAAAACATTATTGCATAAAAAATCAAATAAATAAAGGACAAGTTCTAAAGTAATTTCAAGGTGTTCTGGTAATTTCTAAAATAGAATTCATAATTATATTCATAATCAAATAACAAAAGATTAGTAATAGAGAGCTAATTTATAATTAAATCCATTTGAATTCTATATTTCCATAATAGAGAGCTAATTTATAAAATTCTATCATGCACTTAAAAAAAAGAAGCACAAGAAAACAAAAATTGTTTCAAGGATTAAGAACACACTAGCGGCAAGGGAATTTTATTTTATCTTTAATTAGTACAACGAGCAAATATTATCTAGTAATCCAAAGGTCCTATTTGCATTATTCTAGTATTTTCTATTTTCATCTAAGCCACCCATGAAAGAGATATGCTATTACAAAAATAGGAGAAAACCTTAACTACAATTATACCGGCACAAATATAGAAAGATCAACGATAAATAGATCCTAGAATTCATCATGAAACAAAAAAAAAGGATCATGCTGGGTTATTTTAAATAAATGAAAATAACAGGCAAAACAAATACACATGCATTCAAGTCTAAATGTTATAAAAAAATAATTAAAAAAGAGATAAAAATACTAGAATATTTTTCTCAAAAACAAAAAAAACTACAATATTAAAAGCAAAATTATATAACATTACAAAAAAGAATAAAATTAAAAAACCGACATTTTTCCCCTAAATTTTTCAAAGTCACGAGATAAAATTGAAGATAATTAAAAAATAGAAAAATCCTTATTCCCATAGTCATCAAAAGACATAATTTTATTTAGCAAAATAAGTTTTTTTTTTTTTATAGAAAAATCGATTTCTCAAAACCACTAAAATTGAGCAACGTTTCGAGCAAAAATCGACCTCCAATCTTCTAATAATTGAACAAATCAACACACAAACATTGTAAAGCCTTCGATTATCTTTCAAACACATCAACGTTCATAAAAAAAACTTTTAAGTATTGAAGATTTAATTCAAAGAATGGCGAAAATTTTTTATCCATAAACTTTTCATCTATTGTGAGCAATAAAAAATTCATATAAAAAAAAGATTCAATGATAAATAAATTGACTTATTTTATTTGAGAGATGAAGCCTTGTGATAAAAAACTAGAACTAAATTTGATCTAAAACGAGCCATAAATTGATCGGAATCTTTAATTTTGAATTGATCTCATGTTTTTTCAGCAGCAGCATTTCGAGCAAAAATCGACCTGCAATCTTCTGTAGATTGAACAAATCGATCCGGTAAAGGCTTCGACCATTTTTCAAACACACCAAATTTCCCAAAAAAAACATTTCGTATTGAAGATTTAATCCAAAGAATGGCGGAAATTTCAGAACCGGTGAATTAACCACCCTTTGAATTGATTGGAATTTTTTTTTTTGTGCATGTTTGATTCCCAAAACATTGTTTTATAGTCATAATACGATGATTTAGATCAATAACTTACTGCAAAAGGCCAAAATATGGTTGAAAAAGGAATAAAAAAGCATAGAAAAGCATGAGATTTGCTCAACCCGTGACCCACTGTGTTTGTGCATGAGACTCGGCGATTCCACTACAGCAAATCGCCAAATCGCTATTAAAAATTGGCGATCCACCTGGGGGGGGATCGGGTGGAATCTAATAATTTGGCAGATCCGGATCGTCCACCTCCAAATCTGATTCGGATCGGTCGATTCCGATCCGCATCGGTAGATTCTGATCCAGATCGGTCGATTCCGATCCGGGTCGGTCGATTCCGATCCGGGTCGGTCGATTCCAATCTGGATCGCTGAATTTTAAAACCTTCATATAAACAACATGTCCAATGATCGATTGAACAGTTTCTGATGTAAACTTTATTAAGATTTCATTTAGGCAATGGAAACTTTATAAAGATTTTATCTATAAAGATTTCATTTATGATAGAACTTTACAAATGAGCAATTGAATGCCTAATGATATCTTTAAACAACGGTTTATGATATAAACTTTATAAAGACTTCATTTAAATTATGAACTTTATGGAGCGTTGAATTTATTGTTGGACTCGATCTTTGGCTGTAGTTTTGTTCATTGGCTGGTCGTCACATATAGATTAGGTTATGGATTTTGTGTTTAATTATTCGGTATGTAATTCACTTTTTATTTTGATTATGATTTTGTTCAATTTATTTTGTATGTTTTATTAAAAACATGAGCTTTTTGTTAGTTTTATCAATTATTCATTAGCACCGTTAAACATCATTGGAACTAGAAACTAACATTTCAAAGCCTATTTTGTTTTATTTTATCTTTTCTTGGGTACCAAAATTTCAAAGCCTAGAAAGTTGACATAGGTGAAAGTCGAATATAGGATCGCTTTTTATGGTCCTTTTAATGGGATGTAACTTTAGGCCATAAAAAATCAAACAAATTTTGTTATTTTATTCTTTGGATTTTATACAATGGGGTTACGCTATTGATTTTGTTACTACATATCCAGGAAGAAGTTATTTTAACAATATACGAAGATGCGAGGTGATCTTTCCAATAATTTTTTATTTAATAGCAGGCACATTTTTCTCATTATTTATCCCCATGTTTACATAATTCATTTGTTTATAATGTAAACAATGGGATAAATCTTTAATTCTACGTAACGGATGTAAGGGAAGAACGAGGGGCACCACTTCTATAAATGACCACCTCCGAACTCAATCTTTTTATGCTCCATTGCTCCTTATGGATTGGGGCCCTCTATATTCATGTGTGGGGCCCTTGTTAAATAAAAAATTTTAAACAACAAAAGTGAAAATATTATCATGCGAAAGAAAATTAAATTAAAAAATTGAGAAAAATAATAATTATAAAAATTATAAAATGGGGCCGAACCGACCGGTTCATTATAGGAATCAGCTTGTTTCTACAGTGAACCACCCGGTTCCCGATATATGGTGGGAACTGAACTGTCCCACCAATTCTCGATCTGGATTTGGGCGATTCTGATCCAAATCGACCAGTTCTTAGGTGGAACTGGCCGGTTCCCGATATATGGTGGGAACTGGACAGTCCCACGGGTTTCTGATCTGGATTGGGCGATTTCGATCCAGATCTGCAGTTTTTAAAATCTTGGTTCACACCAAAACTCTCCTAACCTCTATGAAGGTCTGGATTGCGGTATTGGCTCATGATATAACGTCTTATGTTGTTTTCCTTCTCTTCTCATTTATAAAATGACCTTAATATTTTAACACTATTGTAATGGTAATGAACTAGCTGTTATCAAGGTAAATTATGCTATTTTGAACCAATGATTTTAAAATATGCACAATATATTTTGGACTTCCTAAAATATTCTGCCCTTGATATCTAACATACCTTCTGTGTGAAAAGTTAACATCTACAGCCTGCATAGTGCCGATACCTTACTTTTGACATGGGCGTAATATATTTTTTACTTCCTTAAGTATCCTGCACTTGAAATCTAGCATATAATTCTTGGAAGGTTAACATCTACCACTTTCCGTGCCTATGCCTTTGTAAGTCAGGTATCTTCCACATAATTTAGCTGTAGAGGCCTTCCATTGGGGTATCAACAATACTTTACCTAACTTTCATGGTCTTCAAATAATTGATCCGTTTTTCTGCAGAATAAATAATATTTACATGAGGCATCAAAGCTTGAATTATTTTTCTTGATGCTTTAAAATTCAAAATTTAAAGTACATGTCTGAAATTTTAATATTTTGAGTATTTTTTTCCTTGAGTAGAAGCATCTCAGGAATGTAAATTACATACTTGTGTATTGTGTTACTTTTGTTCTATATGTTAGTTGTCTTTGGAGGACACAAATTCCTGATTCTTTCTTTTCCAGGCATGTATGAGATGTATGTGCTTTCCTGAGTAATTTTCATTTCATGAATGATGTTTTCTAAGTCCTTTGCATGCTCACATTGTTAATAAAAGCCTTGGTTGTTTATGTGGAACTGACTCCAAGAAGTTTATTCACCTCCCCAAAAAAAAAAGTCTAAGAAGTTTCTTGCCTTTTTTCTTTTTCCAAGATCCAAAAATCACAATTCTCACCTTTTTTTAATTGTATTGGCACATGCATGGTTTAGAGGCTTTCAGAATAATGAATAAAGGTGTTGATGATGTCTCTCTATATCAGTGAAAACAGGACCTAGTGTTGTTGATGCAGCCATGGGAAGGATTGCTCAGGGAACTAAAGTTCTTGCTGAAGGGGGATATGAAAAGATCTTTCAACAAACGTTTGAGACACTACCAGGGGAAAAGCTACTCAAGTCATATGCATGCTATTTGTCAACTTCTGCCGGTCCTGTTATGGGGATTTTGTACTTGTCAACAGCAAAACTTGCTTTTTGCAGTGACAATCCTCTTTCCTACAAATCTGGGGACCAGACTGAGTGGACTTATTACAAGGTACAGCTTCAGTTATTATAATGCTTGCTTACACTGTGTAGTTGAATAGTTTGAAGTGCAGTTGCAATGCCTTGCTTAGAATGGGTTTTTATTTGCCCCACAAATATCTTAGAACCTGTATCAAAATACAGAAGGATTTTAGTTTACGAGTAAGTGCTAAAATTGTTCTCTGATGTATACAGTTTTGGATTTTGAGTAAATTACATATGTAAACTTATTTGGAATCTTCTGTTGTGGACTGCCCATCAAATTAACTGTTGGTGTGAAAGAATCAAGTGTGCTTTTTTGAATCTTTGCTTCACATACATGTAGAAGTTGAATTTGGACTAGAAATGCATGGCTGAGTATGCTTTTTCATATCATTCACCTTGTGCAGATAAATCATCATCATTATCATCATTCGAGCCTGATCCCAACTTTTTGCAGTTGACTACACGAATCTTGTTCTGCCATTCCACTCTATCAAGGGCCATACCTTCATTCTGACAAATCTATTAACAAATCTGTTTTAGCACTAAAGAAAGAAAAAATGTTGACCAGTCCTCACTAGGGAATAATAGTAGATTTAAGACCTAATTGTTCATACAATACAACATCTTCCATGTTCTCGCAATGCAGAGTACAAGATTATCGGGAGAATTGTCATACTTTCTATAATACATGTCCATGAAGTTTTCCCATCTCTTTGTGAAGTTCTTCCTTGATACAGGGTTGTCAGCTCAACCTTCAACTACTTTGTCCTCTTATTTTTTAGTGAGGGCATTTTAGTGATTCCTGAGTCTCTTTTGGATGATCTTTAAGCTCAATAGCTAAACTGCCTTTTTGTTATTAGGTAGTGCTTTCTTGTGGTTCCTTAGTAAGCATTTATGTTTTGATAATTGGCAATGGTGTCTTTTTTTTTCTGTTTGGTAATTAACTGGACTGTTATTTGTCTAGTTTGCAGTATTTTCATTGATTTCCATCAGTTGGCAAGCACGTGTACATAATAAAACGACACTCTGCGTGTGTGTGTACATACACATGCATATAACTATTGGTGGTTTGTGTATTTATATACTACTTGGCAACATGAAAACATTGTACACTTCTTTCACCGAAACGAAAAGAGCATACAATGACCTTTTAAGTTTTTAAATAGTGCCTGATCTCAAATGTTGTTCGTTCTAAGTTGAGGAACCTTTGTCTGGAGCATTATACTAGATGCTTAATTGAACTTGCAGCTCTAAACTAGTTGTGGTGATTAATAAAAGTAAAACAGGAAAAAGATGGAACTTGTGAATAGTTGTGGACATTGTGGCATAAAACCACTTTCTATCTAAATTGACACATCTAAACATCTAAGTTAGGGGCCAAATAAGTTCTTCATTTGGACCTGAGGGTAAAAACTCCTATCTAGTATCTATTGGACCCAAAATTCTCACATAATTGGTCCAGATCATTTCCTCTCCAAGATTGAATCTGGATGACCTAATTGATGGACATCAAAGTCTAGGATTATTTAGCTTAAAATCAATTTTCTTTAATTGATGCTTTGATGGATCATATTTCTTTCGAAATGATTTTAGGTCCTAAAAAGTACTCCTTATTGGTAGCTTTGACCACAGTTCCAGATAAACAATTTGAACTCATGGGACAGTCAAATACATGCCCTTACACATGAGGTATGAGTGCAAACATCCTCATGCCAATATCATATGTTGAAAAAATGAAGTAATAAAATAAAAGCCAGACTGATATTGTCGGAAGGTAAATGGAAAGGAAAAGGAAATGATTCTGTAAAGTTCAAAAGCAAAAACTACATGTTGTGGGCACCTTAGGTGGACTAACTGAAATGCTTGACATAATTTGGACACTTTTTGGAGATATTGCTTGGTTGTGGGAAGTGTAGCAGGACTTGAAGGTGGGGGAAATGACATATCATGATTCGGAAATATGATGGATGGTTGCTGGAGGTTTTGGGTTAATTTAATCCCTACTAAGGCCACCTACAACTTGAGGCTCACCACCCACAATTTTCTAATCCAACCCAACTCTCTCGTCCCCCAACCCAAAACATAAAAAAAAATAAAAAAATAAAACACCCACAGCCACCCACCCCATCACACACCCCCCCCTCCCCACACACAAAGAAGACTATCACAGATTTGCTCAACTCTTTTTCTGTTAGATGTTAAATATATTAAGAAGGCCTCCTACTTCAAAGAAAGACTAATGGTAGCATATAATCCCCTTTCTTAGGTTGTCCTCCGAAAACTCCTTGTTAGCCGAAACACGATCTGTGATAGCTCTCCGAGAAATGTGAATGGCATCCACAAAACAAAATTAGCTTGTACTTGTAATCCCAGCAAAAATTCCTTTTAACTCCATGGCATGAGGGATACCTTGCCGAACAATTAACACTTGGGAGTTGCTTTATATGACTCTTAGTGAGTCCTTCAGAAATCTTCTTCAATGTCTGAAATCTAAATTTCAAACATCGCTTCTTTAAGTTAGTCCATGTAGAATGTTTGTTTTGGGGTTCCCTGCTTAGCTATTACTAAGCACAGAATTGACTATTCTTATTCCTTGAGAGACCTCCATAGCATGATCAACCTTTTTCACTCCACTGAATCGTGCCCAACATACCATTTAGGTTCTGTACTCTTGCTACTTGAGGATTGAACTTGGGGCTGGACTGTGGGTGATGCGACTCCGCAAGGTTCATAACTCATTTGCTAAAACTTGGAAACCATTTTTTTAATCTCTGACTTGCCTATGAAATAGCATCCTATTTGATGACTGATCTTTGGTGAAATTTGGTCCACAACCCAACCCTATTTTTGGTTGTTCTTCCATCATATGCTTGTTTACCACAAGAGGAAAAAAAAAGAAAAGAAAAAAACTTTAGATTTGTGGGATTTTAGTTTCGGATATACTGTTCATCCAAAATTTTGAGGAGCTCAGATCGACTAGATTTGAACTTGAAAACCTAAGTTTGGTTTGGGCGTTTTGATTGGGGTTGTCTAATGAAACTCTGACAAGGATTGGAGGCCTCAATTCACACTGAGCATGATGTTTGGGGGGTCGGTCTCGGAATATTAGGGTAATTGTTTTTCCAATTTAAATTCATATAATTGATGTTTCTTAGGTAAATTTCATTTTTCTCACTTTAAATTTGTATAATCCATCTTGTATATTCTTTTTTATTTTTTTCCCTTTTTGAACCATTTTTCACTAATTTTCCCCATTTTTTTGAGCTCTTTGGGAGGCTCAGCAGACTCGAGCTGGTCTACTTGGACTCACTTGAGTAACTTGGACTGGTCATGGTTTGAGTTCTGCAGCCAAACCGTGATTTCAAACAGTAGCCAACACCAGAGCCCTGTCGAGAATTCCCCTACATTTAACAAAAAGCCATGTCTTGCTTTTATAGATGGAGTTACTTTGGGTATATGATATTTTGAAAAATCTTTCTGCCTCATTAGTCTCTATCCATGTCTCTAAAGGTCAAGTCTTGAATTCTGAGCAAATCTAACCTTCAACGATTACCCCGATAATAAAATCCCTCCTATATGTGATGGCTATCCAAGAAAGAATTGGGGATTCTTGTCTCCCTCTTCAAGCCACATTACCATAGGTCTTTGCCTCAAACTATTTTTTATTTTTTATTTTTTTCCTTCTCTTACCAAGGTCTTGTCTTTTCTCTTCACCTGCATGGCACCATGCTCCTCATTAGTATCCAACATACCAATTTCAAGGGAAACCATCTTTCTAGTACCGATTGTTGGCATATTCTAAGGAATAGCCAGGGCACTGCATGATTGAACGTACCTGAGATTAGGACTTGTGCCCGGTGGCTCCATAAAACTGATTTTCCAGTCAATAGTAAGAGTTTGGGCATATGGCGTTAATGACTTGCCTAGGCCGGGGTAAGGACCAATCAATCTCATGTCTTTCAACATGAAAGGCAGTCAGCTATGGCCAAGGGGAGGATGTTCATATGACTAACTGTTAGGTGCAGCTTGAGAGAGGCCTTGGGTAAGCCCTTGAGATACCCTGGCCAAAGCAAGCCCTTGTGATAGTCTGGGTAACCCAGACTTGAGATCCATAAAAGAACACCTTTTTCCTTGTGTAAAATGCAACTTTCATTTGATGTGGTTCATGAGTAATCCTGAAGTAGTTCAGGCCTGTAGCCACCTTAGAGATGTTTCATTTCATGTTTTGATTATTTTTCTATCTTACTCTTAAAACCATTAACAGACTTTAGAGGTTAACGGACTATAGAGGTCTTCTTCTACTTTTCTAATAAGCTAATTCACCTTAGATTTGCTTGAAGATTAGAGATTTCAAAGGAGTGGTCATTTCTTTAAATTGGTGTTATGAGCAGAAAGTTGTGGCCTAGAGGAGTGCTCGTATGGCCCTGTTTGGCGTGTGCAATTGCAAATATCTTAGCTCCCGCTAGAGTGGTCTTGCCTGTTTGGAAGTGCAAATAAATGTTGTTTCTTAAATAGGCGTGGGTTTCATCATGGCCGGGGCTTCCCACTAGAGTGGTCGACCTGTTTGGAAGCACAGATACCCGGTTTTTCTGAAATAGGTGGGTTTCACCGAGCAGGGCTCGCAATGGGCCTGGCTAGCCCTGGTTCTAGCTCAGCCTTAATCCCAATAGGGTCGGCTTAGGCCTGGCCGGTGAAGAGGCCCTGGTCCAGACACGGCACTGGTCTTGTACAAGCAGGGCCTAGTAGACCAAAAAAGAAAAAGAAAAGGGTGGGATCGAATCGTCTTGTCATGGCTGAGGCCTGGCCCTTCATCCATGATGGCCCGACATTGGCCGGGCTTTCGAGCTGCATTTTTGTGGCCCAAGCCCTAGTTTTTTAGAGTTGGACCGCCTGGCCCACTGCCACCCTTGCTTAGGTCCTACTGCTGCAGTGGGAAGCTCCCACCATGGTGATACGGTTGGCAATGAGCTTGGCAACCTGGCCCTGTCAGCCCGAACATGAATAACGAGGGCCTAGGCCATATAATGGGGCTTGAGGTCCAGGGCCATGATGATGATGGCCTGACCTGATCCTCTTGTTTTTCTTTATTTTTTCCTTTTTCTGTTTGGATCTATTAAGCCCAGCCTGTACAAGTTTAGGGCCGAGCTTACGGGCTGGGCCAAGGCCTCTTTGCCAGGCTGGCTTATGTTGAACCTACATGGACCAAGGCTAGCCCGAACTTGGCCTGGCCCATTGCCAGCCCTAAACTGAAGAGGATGTTTGTTTGTGTGAATAGGTGTGGAACCTTGTATGGTGCTACTTTCACCAGGATGAAAGCCTTTCTTAGGAATTTCCACTTCACACTGGTGATATCTTGTCTGGTAGAGACTCCCACCTTCCACTCATTGTTAGAAATTTGGCTGCTAGGCGACCGGGAGGCCAAAATGCCTAGGCGTGGCCTCGGCGGGCTCCCTGGGCATACTTGCTCATACGCACCTGCCTAGGCAGCCAAGGTGTTGCCTCAGGGCGGTGCCTTACAGCAACTTGTCCGAGGGGAAAAGGGTTTTTGGGGGCAAATCTAGCCCCCTAAACCCCATTCACCTAGTGCCAACCAAGAAAGAAAAAAAACCCCGTAATTTTTTTTAAAAAAAATAGTTAAGGCCTATAGAAATGGCTGCTTTGAGCCGGAGGTATAGAAAAGTGCTATGCCTCCGTGGAAGTCTGAGTCTCAAACTACTATTTTGATGTACAGTTTAGTGCAATTTTGCATATGTCTACTCTGAGTTCTAAAGAATCCTATTGGTGAAAGCAAAAGGCGGTTTCGACTCCCAACACACAGGTACTTGAGTTCCTTCGCCTTTTGGTTCTCAAAAGAAGAAATGATTTCTGTTAAGTGGCTGGTCCAGGATTAGTTGACCCCTTGGAAATAGAGTCAATGATTGCTAGTTTAACAAGAGGCAGGTTATGTTGGGCAATTGCCACTTGTGTGAAGCAAGGTGAGGCACATATCTTTCAGGAGGAGCAGAGAGAACCAAGTGTCTCTTGCATACAGGACTAACTGGGACAAGGGACCTCCTAGAAGCTTAATACCTCCTAGAAGCTTAATATAATGGTGTGGTGAATCCACTTTATGAGCTTAAGGACTTATGCAAAGGAGGCTTGTTTCTTGGGATGTACTCCAAGAACTCTCATTCACCATACTCGGTTAATCACCAGATATGGAGGGGAGTATTGACCTTAGGTCTGTATTGGTTCTGCCTTGAACGTCGCTCTGTGTGGGATGGAGACCTTAGAAGGATTCAGGGCTTTCTGCTGTCCAAAGGACACAATGTTGGTTTGACCCTAAAACCGAAAGCTACTATTTGTGTTACTGGTTTGCAGGCAGTAGAAAACAGGAAACTTGGGAGAGCTTGTTATTGATGATAGTACTTCGGATTTCAGTGAAATTTTGAACACTGAAAGTACTTTTGAGTCTACTTTATGTAGACAAAATTTCAGCTTGAATCAATTTGTATTTTGTGAGATTATGAGATCTTAATGAAGGGAAAAGTTTATATAAGTGTGAGGCTCTAAACAATCATATTAAGGCACCTCAAAAATTTCACTAGAAGAGGTTGTTTTGATGCCCAAGTATCCTCAAATTGATCATCTCCACCTCGATGCATGGACGTGAGAAAAAAATGGATTTCAAGTTTGGGAAATAGTGCATCTTGTAATGCATTTTTGGACCGTCAATTTTCAAGATTTTCATAGATCTGCTAGATCTACACTATTTTTTAATCTTTAAATTGTATAATTAGAGATGAAAATATAATTTAAGGCTATCACATAGATTACCGGTATTGAAACCACATTTCTCGACACTATTTGAAGGTTTTTGTACTTCGATCGTTTAGAGCCTCGGCTCTATACAAACCACACCCATTAATGAATATGTGGTTATTGCCACCATGTAACTGCGATTTTCAGACATCTTCCATTACCTCTCTAAGTCCACCTACCCTAGATCTATTGGGATTCTGTTAGTCACTTCCCTATTCCGAACATACCAATTTTATGGACCACCATCTTGCTAGTGTCGATTGAGACTCTCAATCACTTCCTGACTTTAAACCTTTGATTTGCTTTGAACATCAAGCTTCTTATTTTACCTGAAAAATGCTCCAAGCTTTAACAGGAAACTCAGATCGTCATCTCTCCATATCCTCTAGATGAGGATGATCTGGCCACATAAGCTCAACGCCTCAAACACAAAAGGGACTAGCTCCTGTCACCAAGACCATCATTAAACAGTTGTTGCTGCATGGATGTTATTAGCAAAACAATATTCACGGTCTCTAGCAAATGAATTGACGAACCCAACTAAGAGAACTTTGAGATATTCATTAGATGTGGAATGCAATGCCTCTTATTCCCAGCAGCAAAATCTGGGTCTGCCTCAGGGTAAATTTGGCTAAATAGGGAAACATTAGCCCATGTAGCAGAGATTCAGGTATGAATAAGTGATTTCTTGTGTTGAGTTTGTATATGACATAAAACTGTTAGTTGCATGATGGAATTTGTTGAAGATTGATGTCATTAATTTTGTCCATAATTCTAATTGCTCTCGATTTCTCTGTGTTTGGAAATAGGTGGTGATCCCACTTCATCAGCTAAGGGCCATCAATCCTTCTACAAGCAAAGTGAATCCTGCTGAAAAATACATCCAGGTTGTATCTATTGACAACCATGAATTCTGGTTTATGGGCTTTGTGACTTATGACAGTGCTGTTAAAAGCCTGGTAGAAGTTCTCAAGGATCATGGGCCACAAGCAGTGTGATGGTTGTAGAATTGGACTACTCTGTGAAATCCACCATAAGCTATTGGAGCTATCTGATAATTAATGTTTAGCTCTCATGTTTGGAAACACATGTTTGAAACATAGGGAAAGCCTGCCTAATTATTTGACATTTTGTGATTCTTGTGTAAATAAACTCACTCGTGGTTCTCTAGATGTCCATATGTCTCATATTACGAGATAGGAAAAACTGATGAGCATGATGTTAGATTCTTGTGTGTGATTTCGACCTTTATGTCTAGAAGAATTCCAGTGCACCACGTGTTCTGAGTTTCTTTGCTTCATGTTTTTTCAAGGAATGTTTGCTTGACATATCATTCATCTCTCTGCTACAAGTGACTTTATCTCTAATCTTAATGAATATGTAATCTATTGCGTAATCATTCTTTTGTTTTTTGTTTAACTAGTTAGGCTGGTGTTTTGGGTGGAACTTTCTTGGACTTCTTTGGTTCAAGAATTTCTTGACCAAACCTTGAATTTTACTTAACAATCTGCATGTGTTTCCAAGAAAAAGAAAACTGAGAAACTTGATGTACATTGGTTGAGGAGTTTTGGGGATTTAGAGCGCTTGGGTTCTTATTCATTAGAACTCAGTGAGCATTTCAGCAAACCATTCAAAATCCTTTCTGTGTTTCCAGCAAATTGATATTGAAAGTTGCTGAAGAATGTTTTTCTCTAGTTTTGTGGATGTATTCAAAGAGACGAGGATTAGATTCAATAAAATTCTCATAACATGGAATTTTATGAACTCAGTAGTAGTTTATGGTTCAGTCTCTGTGGAATTTTCTTTTATTTTATTCCATTACATGGATAAAAATTGGGTTCTATTTTGCTTGTTTTCTTGCATTGGTGCTGTCCAAATCTAATGTATAACTTGTTTGCACTTGTTGGGAGTCTGATAAGGTCAATGAATGATTCTTGGGGTTTTTAGTAACTAAAGAAACATCTCTTGATTACATTGATAATTCAAGGATCACATTATTTGATTGACAACCATATGGTTATATCCTAACCAACTTTTGTATTGCATGTATTTCAATAGTAAAGTTCGTGCCCTGATTTGAGGTTGTAGGTTAGGTTTTGGATGACGTGACAATTTAAATCTAAACTGAATATTTTGAAATTTTATTCAATTTTTCAGTTATTCATAAAAGGATTAAAGTTTATATAAGGTTGACGCTTTAAAATGTAAAACTGAGGTGCACTTTAAAAATCATTTAAAAAGGTTGTTTTGATGTTAGCAAAACATCTAATTGATCATTTCACCAATGATATGTAGATATAGAAAGGAAAGATTTCAAGTTCAAAAAATGGTACATTGTGTAACACATTATTTGGATCGTCTATTATCAAAATTTTCATGTGTTTATGGATGTGTTGAATTTGACCTAGTTTTTGAACTTGAAAATTTATAATCAGAGATGAAGATAGATTTTTGTGCTATCCTAATAATTTTTTACACCAAAATTAATCTTATGACACATTCTTAAAAAAAAAAAAAAAAAACAAAGTATTTTATGACAAAGTTTGAAGGTACTCCTTACTCTGATTGTTTAAACTTGGAACCTAATGCAAACTACACCCTGTAAAGTCAGCATTTTTTAAACCTAAGAATCTATTTTTGCCTTGTTAATTCTGCTCGTTCATTCTCCATTTCTCTTCATCCCCTTTCTAATTTTTCTTCTCTCTTTTCTCCCTTCTTTTCACTTTCTTTAACTTCCCACTAAGGTACTGTTTTACATGGTTAGACCGTCTCTGCATAATTATGGCTCGAATTTTCTACTTCCCAACAAACTTCAATTAAGCCATGGTCGTATGCCCCTGCCAATTAAAAAGATTATAGAATATAGTGATTGATGCAAAAAAGAATTAAAAAAAAAATAGTATTATTATTTTTTTTTTAGGGATAGAAAGAGACAAGTTAGGTAGGCTTGAGTTATTTTGAGGATAGAGGCTATTTTCTAAGAAGTTCGTTTTTATGGAACGGTTGGTTTTGCTTTTAGGCACGTGAGAGATATATGGCTTATCTTTGTGGTGTTGTAGTTAGAAAGTTAACTTTGGGTAAATGTGTAATTAAGAAGCTTATCCTTTAAAGAAATTAAGGAGGTTTAGAAAATTAAGGAGGTTTAGAAAGAGAGGGTAAACCCTATGGATAGGTAGAGAGACGTGAGGTTATGGGTGGATAAGGGTGGGAGATCCTACTTTTTTGGGGAGCTATTTTTAGTTATTTGTTATGAATTCTATTTAAAGGGTGGGAGATCCTATTTTTCTAGGGAGATATTTTTAGTTATTTGGTATGAATTCTATTTAACGGGAAGATGTCCCTCATTGTAAACAGATCCGAGAATAATGAGTGAGAGTTGAATAAATTTGATCTTGTGATAAGATCTCGTTGTGGTTTTTACCGCATTAATTGTGGAAGATTATGCGGGGATTCTATTGCAGACTCAAAGAGGGTATATTTAACTATTTCTTTTAATTATTTTTTTCCAACATCAATTGTGGAAGATTATACATGAGAGTATTATCGATTATTTGCTCGTAATAATCTCCACAAAACGGAAGAACAAAAGGTTGCTCGATATGTAAATGGCCTTCAACCTATCATTAAGGTATTAAGGTTGCTTGATATGTAAATGGCTTTTAACCTACTATTAGGAAATGACGTTTTTCTACATCGACCATGGACTTTAAGGAAGCTTTTCAAGTTGCTTTATAAGTGAAAACCAAATATCAAGAGAACGGCAATAAGCGATTTGGCACCGAGAAAGAGGTTTCACGTCAACCAAAATTTAATGAAGAGTGCTTTATGAGTAGAAACTAAATATCAAGAGGCGATTTTACACCAAGAAAGAGGTTTTACGTCAACCAAAATTTAATGAAGAGAAAAAGGATACTGCAAAATTCACGTGTTATCTATGCAACGAGTTAGGACATTTAAATGCCGAAAAAGGAGGATGGAGGTACACTTGGTTAAGGAAGTGGACAAATTGCATAAGAAGATCAAAGTTTAGGAGATAGTATTGCATGGTCATGAAGGAGATCTGCTTTGAATCAAGCTCGAGGTCAAGCTTCTCCCAACCTTAGGAGAATGATGCAGAAGACAATTTTTTTAAAAAATAGTATTATTATTTTTCTTAGGGATATGAAGAGATAAGTTAGGTGGACTTGAGGTGTTTTGGGGATAGGGGCTATTTTCTGAGATGTTTATTTTTGTATGGAAGGGTTGGTTTTTCTTTTAGGTAGTTGAGAGATAAATAGCTTATCTTTGTGCTGTAGTTAGAAAGTTAACTTCGGGCAATTGTGAAATTAGGAAGCTTATCTTTTAAAGAAGGAAAAAGTTTATATAAAGTGGCAACCTTACCTCTACAACTACAGATGCACTTCAAAAATCCATCGAAAAAGATAGTTTTAATGTTGCAAAACCATTTGATTGATCATCTCAACATCGAGATAGATGACCATGAAAAATAAAAAGAGTTTAAGTCTTTAAAATAGTGCATTTTACAACATATTATCTACACAGTCCATTTTCAAGATTTTCATATGTTTATCGATCTATTTGATTTTAACTATTTTTAAAATTTAAAATTTTATAATTAGATATAAAAATAGATTTTGAGATAATCCTAAGAACATTTTACATCAAAATTATATACCACGATAAAATTTGAATGTGCACCTTACCTCTACAGCTACGGATGCATCCGTATGCTAACTACACTCTTTAAAGAAACTAAGGTGGTTTAAAAAAACTAAGGTGGTTTAGAAAGAGAGCTACGGATGCGTCCTTATGCCAACTGCACCCTTTAAAGAAACCAAGGAGGTTTGGAAAGAGAGGGTAAACCATATGAATAGGTAGAGAGACGTGAGGTTATGGGTGGATAAGGGTGGGAGATCCTACTTTCATAAGAGATCCTATTTTCATGGGGGAACAAGATGTCACGTGAGAAGAGATATAGAGTCTTTTATAGGTTTTATAGTTATTTGTTTTGAATTCTATTTAAACGGAAGAGGTCCCTCATTCTAAACATATCAAAAAAATAAAATTGAGAATCGAGTGAAGTTGATATTGTGATAAAATCCTTTTGGGGTGGATTCTCTTGCCGACCTCATTTTTGTGATAAGATCATTTTGGGGTGGATTCTCTTGCAGACCTCTTTCTTATGATAAAATTGTTTTGGGGTAGATTCTCTTGCAGATCTCGTTGGGGTTTCGTTGGGGGTAAATTCCCTTGAAGACTTTGAGAGATGGTATAATATCTCACCTATTGGCTCATATTTATAACCACAAGGTTAAGAGCCCTAAACTTTGTAGTATCCATTTTATCTTCATTAATCGTTTATCGTTGTTCTTTTGATATTTAGTTTCTACTTGTAAATCAACAACGTCATCCCTAATGGTAAGGTGAATGAAATTTACCTATCGAACAACCTTTTGTTCTTCCGTTTCGTGGATGTTATTTCGAGCAACTAATCAATAAAACTCTTATGTATTTCCACAATTGATGCAAGAAAAAAATAATTAAAATAAAATAATACAATATAAATAAAATAGTACAATATACCTTATCTGAGGGTCTGCAAGGGAATCCGTCCCAACAAGATCTTATCATAAGATCAACTTTATTCAACTCTCATTCTCTAATCATTATCTGATCGGTTTACAATGAGGGTTATCTTCCCTTTAAATAAAATTTAAAACAAATAACTAAAAAAACCCATAAAAAAATATCTCTATTTCTCTCTATCTCTTCCTCACGTGAGATCTATCTCTCTACCTATCCATACGGTTTACCCTCTCTTTCTAAACCGATCTATCTCTCTACCTATCCATACGGTTTACCCTCTCTTTCTAAACCTCAGTTTCTTTAAAAGATACGCTTCCTGATTATACCTTTACCAAAAGTTAACTTTCTAACTACAACACAAAGATAAGCTATTTATCTCTCATGTACCTAAAAAGCAAAACCAACCATTCCATAAAAAGATAACCTTCTTAGAAAATAGCCCCGATCCTCAAAACAATTCAAGTCTCCTAACTTATCTCTTCCTATCCCTAAGAAAAATAATAATATTAAATTTTTTTTGAATTTTCTTATGCGTCAGTGACGGGGAAGATTAGAACATTAGCGGAAGGCCTAGGCTCTACGATAGAAGTTAAAGTTGTACTTCATACCTCGCAGTCTTGGCATTGGAATATTATGAAATTAATCACCTCGACTTCAACAATTTTGGCTTGAGTAAAGAAAAAAAAAGATATATTTAGTCTTAAAAATAGCATATCTTGTAAGACTAAATAAGGGTTTTGGCTCTAA